ATTCACAGGGCCGAGCGGAGCCGGGTTTGCCAGCTAGTTCGTTATAAATGTCAGTTGGGGACATGCCAAATACTGGCACAACGATGTTTGGCCTACCCTAGTATACACACAGGAAGCATGATAAAAGAGCCCTAAATGCATAAGAGCAAGAGCATCATTTTCACATGAACTTGTCAAATAACCAATGCGGGCCAAGTTTCATTCCAGATATTAGGCCACTCAAGTGAAACGGTCATTTTTAAACACGACCTTTGTGAGAAAGGCGAGTTAACTATTCTTTTTTGCACTTGACACGAAGAACCACTTATTCTTTCCTTACATTAGAAATCTCACCTCAAACAACTTCCAAAATAAGGAATCAAGAGCAAGCCAAAATCTTGTTTGTTCCATATTTTGCTTTCAATATTTAAGTGGAGAAGACAATCAGGCTCAAATCACTTTCGTATCAATTACAAGGCTTGGACTATTGAATATATTTATTCTCGTCGCCTTCCCTCACGATTCAAGTACTAGCGCAGATTAGCATATTACCAACCCATGTTTTCGCAAAAATTTCCTCTTGCATGGGTAAGGGGAATCGACTATATTTTCTCTAGAAGAAACTCTCAAATAAAAATCCTACGAAAAAGAATTCAAGCAGTAGCAATGGTATAAAAAACGCAGATGTTTCAATGGTTTGAAGGTACGTTAACGGGTTGTGGCCCAATCCTTAGAAGGTGTGGCAGCCACAGCTTTTTGAGGGTTGTGCCACATCCCATTAACTACCTTTATAGAAATTTTAGAAGAACGAATTATATAGAGTTTGAGCAGCATACAGTTCAGCCTAAATCTCGTAGTTTTGTAGAGCTGATTAGAGGTGAATTCGTCTTCTTTTGTTTGAGCGGTAGTTGCTGGAAGCACAAACACTGTAAACGAAAAGTGGAACAAACGAGATTTGGCTGACTCCTAATTTCATTATTTGACGGTCGTGAAGCAAGATTTACGGCGGTGGCAAGTAGGGAGTAGTGATTTCTACTGAGTACAGAAAGAGGTGAATAATTTACTTTTAAAATACAGTTACATATTTGCAATTAACCATCTAACTTGGTTGATCCATTCGGGAACCCTCAGAATTCACTAAAACTTGGCCCTCAAGGGTTATTTACATGATAACTATGAATATGTTACTAATTATGTTTTCTAAAGCGTTCGTGGAAGTGTCGAAACAGAATGGTGCTACACCTCTTGCACAGCCGATGTAACATTGTTCGCTTACAATACATCCATGTGGTTTGATGCAAGATTTCCTGTGGCCGTATTCATCAACGAACCCTGAGGGTAAACCTTACTCTTGAGGGTATTCTACCCCAGAAAGCATGAAAACCGTATTCACGAAGCACAGGGTATGCTTAACCTTGAGGGTTGAATCTACCTTTGAGGGACCTTACCCTATAAACCATTAACCCGCATTCATCAACACTCTGAGGGTAAACTCCACTCATGAGGTAAGCCTTACCCCGGGAAACGATAAACCCACCTAGCATCGGGCGAGGTTAACTCTACCCTGGCACTTCATGCAAACATGGAGGTGATCTCTTGATGCACTACTCACTCTTGACTATACTTTTTATCAACAGACGCATATTTCTTACTATTATTATCTCAAATTCGTTAAGTCTTCTTTCGTGTTGTCTAATCATATTACGAAAATGAGTTTAAAATTTTTCTTTTACTTTATTGTTCAGAGCAAAGCAAGTTCAGTTAGTCACGATAGTCTGATCTTGTAACAAATCATTGATATTAGAAAAATATATCCAAAATTTGATTGAGAGAGCTCCAATCACGAAAATCTCTTCCAATCACAGGCGA